TTTTCAACACTGTTTCTTCCATCGCATTTCGTGTATTCAGCGGCTACAAGCCATAAGGAAAATTCTGACTTTTTATACCCACCGGTCACAAACTCAAGGTCAGACTCGATGTTATTTACGTCATGAGCAACGGCCTCACACCGCAGCAACGGTATTTTATGCTTCTTATAGTAACTCTTTTTCTGCAAACTTCTTGACCATTTCATTTACTTATGTTGCTGCTGCTTGCCTCTTTTCTCGAGGTACTTTTCTTTTGTGGACAATGTCCACTTCTTTACAAGTGTCTGCTGATTCAGCTTGTACATACCGATGCTCCTCGTAGAAATTTATAGTTGCCAGTCTTTTTAGTTAAAGGCCCAACCAGTATAAACAAGACTCTAGTCATGCGCATCGCCACGTGCTAGGTAATCTCACCCTCTCAAATCACAGGACGCTAGAACTCCTCTCGATTCCGAAGTTCAATTGTTACACTCCAAGAATTCTTCATTAAATGGTTATCCTTCTTTTTTAGGTATTCAACGCTTATTTTCGTCTTGTTATTTCAAATGTAGCTTTCATTTACGAAAAGTATGTCATTTCCCAACAATTTAAGCTGGAAAACCAGGATCTTTCCGCATTGCTGCCCCCTACCATATTGTAAAATAGCAAACATTCATATGTGTGTATGTGTGTTTCAGTGTCCAGTTTTTAATGGCAACGTTGGGTGGGAAGACCGAAGCAGTGGCGATCTTTAGTCCGTGCCCCCGTTGACTACTACTACTACTACAACTAGGAGGGTGCGGGAGGGGGGCAGCTGCATCACCATCATGCTGGCTTCATCCCAAAATACGGCTGCCTCGATTTTTGCTCGCTCTTTCGCTTCGCATTTTCCCAGCATCGTTTCGCTTGCCAATTCAGCATTGTGCCCTGCGCGCATATGGCCATCATCTGCCTGTGCCGCTGCTCACAACGTCACCATGCAACTCATGAAACATTGCCCTGTCAGCAGAGATACGCGCTCACACTCACCCGCTAAATGTATGGATACCCCACTGCAGCAATTGCTCAACACAACCAGCCCCACGGGTGAAGAAGAAATCACACAACAACTCCCAAAACTCATCACAAAAAATGAGGGAAATTCATGCAAAGAACTG